AAAATGCTGCTACAGCTAGTGTCAAGGAAGTTAGTACCTGTGCTCACCTCCAATATTTTTATTGTTTCAGGTCTCACATGAATGATTAATCTATTTTGAGCTTGTGTACAGTGTAAGAAAGTGGTCCAGTTTCACTTTTTTTGCATGTAGCTGTCCATTTGTCCCAACACCATTTGTTGAAGAGGCTATCTTTTTTCCATTGGGTATTCATTACTCCCTTGTTGAAGATTAATTAACCTTATATTTGTGTGTTTATTCCTGGGTTTTCTATTCTGTTCCATTGATCTAGGTATCTATTTTTGTGCCAGTACCATACTGTTTTCATTACTGCAGCTTTGTAATACAGCTTGAAGTCTGGAATCATGATACTTGAAGTTTTATTTTTCTTTTTCAAGATTGCTTTGGCTATTTGGGGTCTTTTGTGGTTCCATACAAATTTTAGGATTGTTTATTATAGTTCTGTGAAAATGTTGTTGGTATATTGATAGGGATTGCATTAAATCTGTAGATTGCTTTCCATTGTATAAATATTTTAATGTTATTTGTTCTCCCAACCCATGAGCATGGGATGTCTTTCCATTCCTTTGCATAGTCTTGAATTTCTTTCATCAGTGTTTTATAGTTTTCAGAGTACAGGTCTTTCACCTCTTTGGTTAAGTTTATTTCTAGATAAAGATTTTATTGTTTTTGGTGCAGGTGCAAATTGGATTATTTTCTTAACAGTCACTTTCATTTTCTGCTGCTTCATTATTAGTGTATAGGGATGCAAAATATTTCTGTACATTGATTTTGTATCCTGTGACTTTACTGATTTCATTGATCAGTTCCAGGAGTTTTTTTGGTGGAGTCTTTAGGATTTTCTCTATAGTGAAATAGTGAAAGAGGGAAAGCATAATTTGAATTTAAACTATTTTCTAGACCATTCTGATTAGGGTTATTTTTAGTTCCTTAGAGACAATGATCTGAAGATTCATATAAGAAGTCTCTGTATGTATTTTAGAATTTATCGTACATATGTGTGTATAAATATGTATGTTATATATATTTCTGTTTAATGAACTGTACATAATCTCTTTACAAAGCATTTATTAATCTTAACAGATACTGTTATTACTTTTTAAAAATTCTGATTTTAAGATCCTATTTATGTATCATGTCTGTCTATCTATCTATCTACCTACCTATCTATCATCTATCATCTATTGATGTAACTTCAGGCCAAATGGGCCCTACTTGTTATAAGATGAATACTCTGATATCTTAGAGTAGGCAAAATCAGATGTGCACTATTCCTCACTGAGTTCTGATATATTGAATATTTCTCAATGAAAGTGCTACACCATACACTATCACAGGATTAAGTCATGGTAAATAGTGTATAAAGGAACATGACAAGAAGTGCATACCTGAGTAATACAGGATTCTGGAGGAATCTGATGTCCATCTAATATTTTCTCACAGATTTTAATACACATCCCACTCTATTTACTTCACACAGCAACTACTTGGCATGTATTTCAGCATAGAGAGGTAGGAAAATATGAGTTTTGGGATCCAAAAGATGGGGATTCAATCCCTGTTCTACGAGTATGGGCAAGTGATTTATCCTCTTGAATGCCAGTCTCTTCATTTTTACACATAGAGATGTCCATACAGGGCTGCTTGACATTCAAATGTAAACATTCATGCACATAGAAGATACATAATAGGTTCCCAATTCATTTTAGTATAATGTGGTCAATGACTGAACTAGAGCCAAGTTTCCACATCTATAATTCATTTGAATTCAAAACTATGAGTATAGTTAAAATAGCTTAACCAAGCATATGTTGCATGCTTTTTTTAAATCTGAAAAATATAGAAAGATTTTTTTACTACTTTTTCTGAAATTCCTCATTTTGCAGCTCTTGAGTATGAGCTATTAAATCCGTTCAAAGATTTGGCATTTTGCCTTTGTTCATATTGAGCTTTTAAAAAGTTTTCTAACTTTTGCCAATGTTTATGCCTCTGAACATTCCTCAGGTTTTATGTCTCCCTCAGGAAAGATCTCCCTCCTTTCTTCTCTCAATCCATTTCCAACTTGTGTCCTCAGCTATTTTATCCAGATATTCTGTTCTCTGAAGCTCTGTCTTCTAGCATTCATTTGGGCACTTGCTTCCCTATGTTTAAGGTTTTAAATTAGTTAGGTAGCAAAATTCTTTGACACCTATGACTTTTTGTATCCCCCTAAGTTCTCACCACAGCAACAGGCTGACAGTAAGTGTTCAACATGCTTTTGTGCTTGTATTTAATTAAATAAAAATCTCATTCTAAGTGTGTGAGCCAGCAACAAGTTATAAATACAAAAGCTTGAGTTTTGAGCTCTTGTACCTCTTATCAAATCCTAAGATGTCACATCTGAGATGTAAATTCTTACAGCTGACACCAAAAGGGTACCAATGGTGACTCATCATTCTAAAATTTCAAAAAATCTTCCCTCCTATCACTTTTCCTAACTTGAAATTTCTTCATTTCTGAATGCTGTTTCATGAAAATAAGGCCTAGAATGTATTCTTCTTGAGATAAGCATGTTATCTTTGTTAAGATATTTTCATTAGGTCAAAATAATTATCGAGGATACAGAAGAAACCAGCCTTGGCTAAGGGCAGAATCAGGAAATGGATTTTATTTGGAGCAGTTCCTCATCTGAATAAATGTTTACTGAAGTGAGTAAGCAGAGTCATTTCCATCTAAAACTTGGAGGCAAGACAAGAGAGGGAGCAGTTCAGAGAAGCAGGGAGCCTGTGCATTACAGATGTGACAGGACTATAGGAGCTCTAGGTACAATGTCCCATTCTTCTTTGGTCAAGTTGTTGTTCATCTCTGCACCTCAGCATCTAGCACACTCACAGAAACACTGTTGTGCTGAAAATCTGTTCGTCTGGGACTCTGGACTCTTCTCTAGCGACAGTTTATTGATCAAGGTAAAACAGAGGACCAAGTTAAAACTGTGACAACATAGTGGGAAATATTGCTACAAATAGCATGGTACTAAACTAAGGTTAAGTAACAAAACAGTTTCCCTGAACTCAGCTTCCCTTTCCACCGTACCCACCATTGGTGATGTGATCCACCACTCAGCCTCTATTATTCTCAGCTTCCTCTTCCATAAATGAGGATCTTAAATCTTAAATCTCTACCCTTTTCCTCTTTCACTTGGAAAAAAAAAACAACAACAACTTTCTCTCGGATTAAAAAAAATTCTCCAAAATACTTTCATTTCAACTCCTTTTACTTAAATGAACTTCAGTTGATTAACACCATCATAAATATTTCTTTTAAATCATTTTCTAGGATTTTATAATTGACTCAGTCTTGAACATCTCTAGGAGGGGTGGAGAAGAGAGAAACTGTTATGGAACATCTCATATGAGCCAAATTTTTCATATTATTTCATTCTCATGCCTTATGAAATGGAATTTTCTCCATTTTTAAAAGTAAGGACACAGAGAAGTCAAATAGCATGTGGAAGGCCAGGTGAGGGCTGGGAAGTGCCAGGCTCCCCTCTCAGGTCTGATTTAAAAATTTATGTTCGGGGCGCCTGGGTGGCTTAGTCGGTTAAGCGTCCGACTTTCGTTTAGGTCATGATCTCGCGGTTCGTGGGTTCGAGCCCCGCGTTGGGCTCTGTGCTGACTGCCAGCTCAGAGCCTGGAGCCTGTTTCAGAGTCTGTGACTCCCTCTCTCTCTGACCCTCCCCTGCTCATGCTGTCTCTCTCTCTCCTAGAAATAAATGAAACATTAAAAAAAAAATCTATGTTCTTTCTAGTACTTGGTGCTGGCATTATGTAAAAAAGGTAGGTATTCCACTTAACAGATAGAAAGACTGACATACTGAGAACCAGTAAATCAGCCTTTCTGGTGCCAGGAAGAAGCTCAAATATTTTGGAGTAGAGTGTAAGCTCACATCACAGTGTGTAGGAAAATATTTTTGTGTGTGATAACTTTGATGCCAGCATTGAATTTTCAGGATTTTAAAACGATGAAATTTGAGAGAGCTGAGCTTGTTGTATTTATATTTTTTAAAGGCATTATGTTGTTTTAATTCTTAATTGTTTTCTAACTGGGATGAATTTGTGGAATAAACTGGTAGACTCTGACTCCACTTAGCTTTAGTTCTCAACTCAAATAACGGAGTGAAGTACAGCATTGCTATAATGATGGTCTCTAAATGCGTATGGTTCCAGATATACTTCATTATTACACAGTGTGTGCAAAGCTGAAATAAACACTGGGCTTTTACACTTTTTTACAAAACAACTAATTGTAATCTACCTTTGTTCTACTTGTGGGGTTTGTCTCAGGATATGCCAACTGATATCTTATGTTATATAAACAGCAGCCTTAAAAAAAGAGGTGTTTACTTTGTCACAGCTGAAAAAATACAAAAGACAAATAAAGGTATATTTTGGCTAACTGCAAAAAAAAAAAAAGAAAGAAAGAAAGAAAAGAAATGCTAGTACTGCAGTTGTCTTCCAGAGACTATTTCAAAATGAACATATTTTATATTTAAGAAACTGATAAAATCATTTATTTTTTCCAAACCATGAACCCTAGCCTGCTTAGCTCCCCAAACCCTGCCTTACACATGCATGGTATCTAGAATATGATAGGGCTTGATCTTGAACTTTATTTCTTCTTATAAAAGCAATTTTCTTATCTAAAAATAATTTGTAATGCTGTATAGCCCTGTACTTCTTTGTGCGTTAGGAAAGAATTTTTTTCCCTCTGAACGTTCCTTGTGTTGGTTTTTTTCATCCTGCCTGTGTTGGCTTCAAGCCTCTGTTCCTTTCAGGCATTTGGTCTGGTGCCAAACGAGAGTCAGCACTTAGCCCAAAAGTATCATTTTCCAACACACAGAATCAGAAGGAAAACCCCGCCTCTTACACCCACTATTAATTACCATACCACAAAACTGACTAGTTGCATCATTGCCCCATCACTTGTGAATTTCTGCTTTCCAGAGCTCTTATTCCTGCAGAGAATACATTTGAGCCACATGGAAGACATGCCTTTAAGCCACTCAGGCCCTCAAGGAACACACAGACCACCCTGGAAGCAATGGCTCCTCTACTCACCAATAGTTATTTTGCTGTTTCTTTGCTCCTTCAGTACACTAATTCTTACTTTTCTTCCACTCAAGGTAAGGAGACAATAGTACCTAAGGTTGCTATTTTTCTTTTGTAAGTCTAGTTATTGTTATCAGTATCATTAGAGTTAGTTGGAAGAAAATGACATGTGGGTACAGATAATGTAAACAAAATTTCAATTTTGTCATGTCTTTTGAGGTATACCTAAATGTTTTGATGAAAGGTATTAGAAAGTGCTAAATGTTAGCTGCATATCACTGAGTTAGAATCACTTAATTAAATCAGTCAATTGACAGATGCCTTGGAATATTTTCTCCCTTTCTGGAACTCTGCTAAACCCTCTTGGTGGAATAAAGGAAAGAACATACGCTTGCCTTCAAGGAAGGGGATGCAAGCTATAGTCTTAATGAGGAAAAGACATAAGATAATGCAAGACAGAATAAGGTAAGTGACAGGTGGCTAGTGCATCTTTGTGAAAGGAAATGGCACTGAACTAGGAGTAAGATCTGGATTCTGGTTCTAAGTCTCCCTAATTATATGAATTTAAGAAAGATATTTAACCTTCCAGATCTCAGTTTCTTCATTTGAAAATTGGTGGTAGGAGAATGATTTGTTCATTACAATGCTCCTTCTAGCTATAAAATACAATAATTAATAATTTGCCTAAGGGAACATAAATGCTTTAGTAATTCAAAATAGGGGACAATGACTTTGGGCAAGGGTGATCAGGAAAGGTTTCATGGGGGAAAGAGAAAGCACATTGCTATTTGGGAAGCCCCTGATGCTTATTAGAAATTTCCCTTTGAGCTCCAGTCCAAGTTGTTGGTCTAGTAAAGGAAATGGAGATACATTGGGTTCTTCTTAGAAGTTTTTCTTACTGTTGACTACATAGCACTGACCAAAAAGAAAATAATAAATGCTTTATTTAATTTAGGATTTAATCCATTTCTGGGTACATTTGAAGGTTCTTGGCCTTAGAGAGAATAAAGTAGTATATGGCTATCTAAAGAAAGGGCTAAGATGTGAAATTAGTGCCAGTGGAAACATTTTTCTAAGGCCAATGAAGGTTTCAGAGATAAGGTTCTACTATTTAAGATATTTGAAAGCAACTGAGAAAAGATGGAAGAGGAAACAGTACATGGTGGTTGCTGTTGTTAATTTAGTTAGGGCAAGTGTAGCTTTGGCAAATTTTTATACAGGAGCCCATCAATCTGTATTCCCTAACTGTACACAAGGGTATGCAACAGAGGCATTTCTAATCATATCTCTACTCTCTCCAGGAAAGTATCAAGGAAAAGTCAACTTTCTGAGGCAATGAAGCTATGAGCTGAAAGAAAAGAATTGTCAGGAATTCTGAGTGTTTTCATTTCTGAAGAAGGGAAGGGTATGAATAGCAATAGCTTAACTTTGGAAGTACTTTATCCCTCTAAAAATCACCTCAAGTTTTATCTAGAGGACCCTGAAAAACATAGACTATGTTATAGGTGTCATCAATTCCTTCATATCACTGGGGAACCAATGATTGCTCTTGCAAAGACTAAGAGAAAGTCTAATAATGCCAGCAGCACCTAGGACCCCTCTTTCCAGAATTGAACTTGACCAATCCCATGTGTATGAGCTCTCATTCTCTAAGTTAGACAACATACATCTTCTCAGTGAAAGGTTCTGCCTCTAATCAAATAGTCCAGAATCTATTTCAAATTTTGGAAAATTTAAAAGGTTCTTAGAATATTGTCCTGATTGGATGCCATAAAGTCTTATTTCCTATAGAATAGTCAATGGCCTGGCTGCCAATGCGATGATATTAACTCAAGTATTCCATTTCCCACTTGCTTGTGCTTCCCTTTCCCAATTGACCACAAATAAGTATCTTAGGAAAGGAGGCATGAGTGGCTAGCGGATGGTGAGTCATTATGAAGTGGCTGCTTCCACCTTCTCACAACATCCATGAACCCAGGAGTGTTTTTTTGGTCTCCACTGTAGTTTTTATATACAAAATCCCACTTTCCAACTTCTCTAGGCACTAATCCAAAAGTATTAGACAGGAAGGTTTACTCTTTTTAGACCAACAGAAATTTCCTTGGAAGGACATTTTTTTTCTCCCTCCACCCTTTCTTTCAATGAAATAAAGGATACTTCCAAAAGGAGTTGTGCTTGAACTTAAAAGCAGAATAGATTCTATTTCCAAATGATGATCTGATTGGGGTTGGTTTGTAGAAAGAATTATTATTTTGGACATTTGAACCCAAGCATTTAAATCTGGGTTTAAATCAACATGGAAATTAAAAGAGCAATGGATCCTTCTAAGCAAAAATGAATTTAACTCGATAAAAGTCCCATATGCTTCTAATAAATGGATATTTACCCCTTCCAAACATGACCAGAATTATACGTAGAAACAGCCACACAGAGTCCTGGGGGTGAGACTTTTGAGTCAGACAGGCTGTTTGAAGCTCAGCATATCTCCTTATCAGCTGCATGATGTTGAGTTGATGTTCCTTAATCCCTCTCAGACATACTTCCTTGTCTGCAAATGAGCATGCTAGCTCTCATCCCATAGACTTGCAGTCAGTATGAATGGGACAGTATAGAGATGAACACACAGTAGGCTTTGAATAGATTGTAGTGATTAATATTTGCATCCTTACTATTGACATAATAAGGAAGATAAATTTAAAAAGACTTTTAGAAAAATGGATATCCCTTGATCATCTATTTCATTTCCTCATCTAAAGACTATACCTTGCTGCCAGATAGATGAATTTTCTGATTAGACAGATTTTCATCTGTGGCAATAGAGAATATCAGTGGTGGTTTCTGTAGTTCTAAGTACATTAAATGGGTCCAAGTATAGTATCCAGGGTTTCAGTTTCTGGCAATTAATTTGTCCATGGCCTTAGGTTTCTCCACACACTCGTTATGCATGATAGTAGACACCACAGATGCTATCTGTGCCACATATTTTGACACTCATTCATATTTATATTGTTATCCAATTACTTCATGTGTGTAATCGTGTCTTTATAGAAAGATTATAAACTCCTAAGAGGCAAGGGCTATAAATTACATGTTTCTCTTGCTTAAAATGCTAGCTGGGAATATGGGCAATTAAGTATTTTGTTCAATTCTTCATTATAATCAGTATCATCATCAAAACAGCTAATACTTAATGAGCAGGATCAGGTCTGTTTGGGTAAAGCCCTTCACAACAATTATTATATTTAAACCCATAAAGACTCTCAGTTAGCTAGGTGTTATTATTTTCATTTTATAAATGAGAAAATTGAAGATAAGGGAATCCCTATCACATGCCTATCATGGATCAAATGAAATGGATTTCAGCATTTTTTTCTAAGAAACACCAAAAAGAGGATGAAATAATTGCAAGAGCAAACATAATTGTAGGAATCCAAACTTTTTGATTGCAACAAGATGTTTTTGAGTACAAGCCCAACATATATGCAAATTTATTATGTTATATATAAGTACTAATACAATGTATAATAAAAAGATACACAAAATGGAAACTTAGAAGGATGAACTGAATAACATGCTTGATATAGTTTCTTCATGGCACAAAACTGTTTTGCTTTTGTCAAAATATTGTATTTAATATCTTAATATATAAACATTTCTAAAGTAATTGAAATAATACTTTAGTAGAGTAATTTGATAAATGTGTTTATTTTCCTGATCTTAATTTAAAATGCTTTGTGACATAATAATTTGAAGGTTATTTTCTAAGTTAATGTAACTTGATTCATGATTCTGACTGTCATAACCTATATTTCCCCACTCTCCTCTACTGGACTATTTCATTCCTTTGACTTCTCTTTAAACTACCAATGTTTTCCCCATTCTCTCTCTCACCTGAAAACCTTGTCTCCAGGTTCTATGAGGAAATAGATGTAGGCAGGGAAGAAGTCCAAAACTTCCCATCATATCTACCACTTACCTGCATTTTTTTCCCCACATAAAGTGTGCATCCCTGTCACTGCATATGAATTGTTCACACACTTATCTAAGGCCACCCGTGAACCAGATTCTGTCCCCTCTTACCTACTTGATGACATTGCTCTAACAATTATTTCCTAGCTCTTACATTCTACCCTTCCCCACTTTATTTGAACATTCCCATCGAATGGCAACAGATAACCATGTTGTCAGTTCTCTCATGTTAACACAAAACCAAAGACAAGAAAAAATAATAACCTCTTATCCCCATCTAGGCTCCACTCAATTTTTCTGTTCTCCCTTACGGCAAAATTATTCTCAATTTTTCTTTTCTCATTTAGACTTAAATTCACTTTAATTATGTTTTGTCCTCATCATACTGCAGAAACTACTTTTGCCAATAACCCCAATGACTACGTGTTGAAATTCATCTGTTAATTCCCTATCCTCTTCTCTGGCCCATTAGCAGTATTTGATACAGCTGATCATGTCTCCCTAAAATCACTTCTCCCTAAAATACATCACACTTTTCAGATTTTCCTGCTGACTCACTGGCATTTCCTTCTTAGCCTCCTTTGCTGATTCTTCCTCCTTCCCTGATCTCCAAACATTGCAGTGCTCCAATGTTCTTCTCTATCTATGCTCACTACCTCAACAATCTTACACAGTCTCACATCTTAAAGCATCACCTAGAAGGTGAAGATTCCTAAATTTATATCATCACAACTCCTTAAATTCCATCCTCATAGGTCCAAATGCCTACCTGACACTCCTGCCCGGCTATGTGATAAGCATCACAAAACTTGGTATGTCCAAAAATGAACTCATGATTCTTTCCTCTCAGTTTCTTTTTCTTAAATCTTGCTCATTTCAGTGATTATCAACTTTATCTTTTCAATTACTCATGCCCAGTATTTTGGAGTCCCCTCTTTTCTGTTCTTTTTCTCATCTCATATCCATGTCAGGACAGCTAGCACCTTGGTCAGAGGCACCACGCTTTTTTGCCTCCATGATTACAATGATCTCTTAGCTGGTCTCTGTGCTTTTGCTCTGGCCTCTCTTTGCTTTATTCCGACCATAGCAGCTAGAGAAATCCCACAAAAGAAAAACTTACTGTATCTTTAAGTTCAAAAATTCTCTTAAACACTTTGCAACAAAGAAACCAATGAACTTTACATGGCACAATTTTTGTGTGTGTGTGGTTATACCTTATTTTGCTTCTGAGTATTTTAAAGGCTTTAGCATTTAAGTATCAGTGTTTATAGAATTAACCACACTGATGGGTTCTTGTAGCAAGTAAACTGTGGTATGTTGCAACAGTTTGAAACTGAAGTCTCCTCATGTTTTCTCAGTTACTGTAAATGGTGTGATTGTCTGCATATTAAATGAGGGTGGTTTTACGAATATGCATTGTGCATATTTCTATAGTTTATTAAAAATAAAAATAAACACAACCAGAAATTTTATTATTTCCTTCTCCCACACCAATGGATCACCTCATACAATGATTAGAGTGTGGAGACTACGGTTTATATACAATTTCTATAGCCCAGGAGGAGGAGAGTCCAAGAACAAATAGTTGTCCTGTAGATAGAGGTTAAGTGGATCAAATAAGACTTTAAGTTTTGCCTAGTAGACCCAAAAGGGGGCTAGGTAATGAAAGGGAAAGGACAGAACCGGGCATCTACAAAGGGAAGCTGAGACAGGCAAGACAAGGTGGAGAAAAGGATTTTTTTTTTTTTTTTTTACAGCTAGGGAAAAGAAGTTGGCTTCAGGATCTGAAGCTCTAAATAAACCAACCAAGAAAGCTGTGACATGGTCATTATCCTGACCAATTCCTCTTTTTCTTCCCATACAGACTGCCAGTGAGCCCTGTATAGCTAAGTTCGGTGAGTAACCTGTCTTGTGTACCTACTTTTTACTTTTCTTAGGATTTGATACAAGAAGGAAGCCTATATTCTATTTTATTCCTTTTTCAACTACTATTTATAATTGCTTATCAAGTGCCAATCAGTTGTCTAGGAGCTTTGACTTCAGAGGTTAACCAGACAGACAAGTCCATGCCCTAATGAAGCTTACATTCAAGGTCACATCTCTGGCTAGGAATGCACATCACTCTCACAGGCCCAGAAAACTGAAATCCAGGAATCTACTTTTAATTCTGTAGTTTTTTTAAAAACTTTTTTTTCTAAAAATTTCTGTGTTTTATTAAGCACAAGTTTCATATTTCTATAACCTTTCCCTTTGACAAACTCAATGTTCTCACATATCACATATTGCTAGTGCCTTGTAGAGTGGGCCATTTTTACCTTATACTGTCCCGGGATTTGCTAAGAAAACATATTATAGTTACACTGAGCCTTAGGGTATTTCTTAGAATACATACAAAATTGAAAACAAATACATTTGGATTATTTACATATTTCATATTTACATATTTCAAGCCAAATATACATTTTCAGCTGAGAGCCAAACATTTCTAGTGTTAACTGCAATCCTTGTCTTCTTATACACTCCAAATTGCCAGGCTTTCCTGGTCTGTGAAAGTTAGGGAACCTCTTACTACTTGTCTCTGCCTTTGTAATTTGTTTTTGTTTTTCTAGTGAATGGAGAAGAAATCACAATATATTTGAAATTCCTTCTTGATGGGATATGTTAAGAATCTCACTTGCTGCTAATAAGTGGCCTCAAGTCTAGTGGCCCCTATAACATAAGAGAACCAGTGACACTTTTTTGTGGTGACTTGCCTATTATCTATTGCATATTACAAGTTCAGCAGAAAGAAATTTAATGGGCTTTGGACTCACTGGAGATACAAAGAGACTTTGCTTCTTGCTCTAATAGCTCTCCTTTATTTTCCTTTAGAATCTACCCTCTGAGCCTTGTATCAATCATCTATACAGATAAGAATTAAAATGTGTGATCTCTCCCAGGATGCTTTCTTATCAAGGCTTCTTTCTAATTATGAGATAAAGGCTTTGCCCTCATAACAAAAGTTATGGAGAATTAGGGAAGAGGCCAAATAAGTATTTTGAATGATCAAGACACTTCCTGGGGCTCTGAAATCACAGTACTGTGCTAAAACAATTAACATTAAGACGATATGTAAATTCTACTTCTCTCTATGAAAATAAGTGATCAACTCTAGACTCTTCCCCACCCCCTACCCATGACAATGTTAAACTAGGAATACTTATATTTAACAAATAATTTACATTTATAAACTCATGAATTTATCAGTAGCTGTTTTTGAAGAGTTGGATAATGATATCCTAAGTAGATCTCAGTTGTATAGCCTAAACTAAAGAGAAGAGCCATAACTTAGACACAATGCACCTAATTCGGGAACATGGATGTATCATTCAATCAGGAAATATTTATTGAGAACATACTAGGTCCTAGAAACTCTTTTAGGTGCTGAAGATATAGCAATGAACAAAATAGAGAAGTACTTGTTCTCAAAGATGTTATATTCAAGTGGGTATAAGATAGACAATAAATAAATGAGGAACTTAGTTCATAATACACTAGATCACGGTGACATATCTTCTATGAAGAAAACCAAAGCAGGATGAAGAGAGAGAATGACAGGAGAGCACTCTTTTATATAGATTGATGAGGAAGATATCATTGATAAAGTGATACATAGTCTATAGTATTTACATAGAAAAGCATGAATATATGGGGCACCTGTGTGGCTCAGTTGATTGAGTGTCAGGACTCTTGATTTCAGCTCAGGCCTTGATTTCATAGTTTGTGGGATTAAGCCTCATGTTGTGCTGTGAGCTGAGAGGGAAGAGCATGCTTGGGATTCTCTCTCTCTCTCTCTCTCTCTCTCTGCCACTTCCCCACATGTGCACACACATGCACTCTCTCTGTCTCAAAATTAACAAACATTACAAAAAAAAAAAAGAAAGAAAGAAAAGCATGGATATGCCTCCTGGACTGCCAATTCTAGTTATCATAATCCTGGTGTGTGATTCCACTTTCCCTTCCTCCTCCTTTCCTTCCTTTCACAAATGTTGATTGACAAGAGATACAAATGCCATCTAAAACTTAACTCATCTTTCTACTCCAAATCCCTTTCTTTAGAGCTCCCCAAGTAAGAGATATACTTAAGATTTGTAATTTCTCTAAAACAAGGAGTAGATACTTAAAATATTAATATTGTGGTTGGAGAGAACTAATGTGGACTAGGTAAAGAAACAACTTGTAAGTAGGAAATAACTATAATCAAGAAAGGAATGAAATAACTATGCCCTATGTTTTTTTTTTCTCCTTTGTAAATTTCTTATAGGACCATTTCCTTCAAAATGGCAAATGGCATCTCCTAAGCTTCCTTGTGTGAATAATACAGCTGACTGGAAACTGAAGATACTTCGAAATGGCTTGTATTTAATTTATGGCCAAGTAGCTCCAAATACAACCTACAAGGAACAAGCTCCTTTTGAGGTGCGGCTGTATAAAAACAAAGACATCATACAAACTCTAACAAACAACTCTACAATTCAAAATATAGGAGGGACTTATGAACTGGATGCTGGAGATATGCTTCACTTAAGATTCAACTCTGACCATCAGGTCTTAAAAAATAATACATACTGGGGGCTCTTACTGCTAACAAATCCCCAATTTATTTCCTAGAGACTCGATTTGGCCACCTCATTGTCTTTAGCACATGCAGAGAGCTGATGGGTGGGTTAAAGGAGGCAGATTTTCAACATCCACAGTTTGTCTGGGTGCACAAATCAACATATACAGAACTCTTCTCTGCATGTGAGTTTTCATCTCTCAAGCTTAACTGAAGACAGGCCAGCAACATTTGCTTACCCCTGACACTGGGTCTACAAAAACACTTTACTAATCCATGATAAAGGACTGGAGGACAGAAGGTTCTCAAAGAGTCTTTGCCTAATTCTTAAATCCTTGGATGGAAAAATTGTCTTATACACCTGGGAACCTTACATGGTATGCAAAAAAGATTCAGGGCAATGGCTTGGTCTTGCTCTCATATTCTAGGGCTGCTTCACCTTATTCTTCCCATACTCCTATCTTTTGAGGCCCTCCTATTAAAAGTAGTCAGACTGGGAGAGTGGCCACAGATATGCCAACAATACCCCACTTTAGATGTGATAGTGTTAGATGATAGGGAATAGTATTGTCTACTGGGACAGAGGCATAGGTGGCTGGAATGGATGCACTTTACTTGGAAACCTCCCTTGATTTCATCATATTCAGGATGCAGAGTGCTTTATAAAACCAGTTAGTCAAAGGATTCATTCTGAACCTTCACAGAGGGCTCCGGGGAACTTGATTATTATGTCTAAATGTTGTCAGTGGTAAAGAAAGAGTGATCATTAGTAATCATAAAAATTAATCCCCAGAAATGGGTATCATCAGTACTGCATTATATCACATAAGAGTTTCATGTTTTTAGCTGGCTCTCCACAGCTTGCCAAGTGCCTTCCATAGATCACAAGGAAACTCTATGAAGCTAAGAGGGCAGGTATTTTTGGCACAATTTAAATAATGAAAATATAAAGGCAGAAAGAACATCAGTAATTTGCCTCAACCCATAGAACTAGAGATTAATAGTGAGTTTCCCCAATGTCTCATACTGCCTCAGCTTAAGAGTGGATATTTCAGCTATCATATGTCTATAAAGTTTAGCAGATTTGATTATCAGAAGATCTATTCTCTTTCATCCCAAGGTGGGTAGAATAAAGCTATAACACATCTCTCATTTCTTAGCAAATTTTTCCTTCCCTGCTTGAAGCAGAAAGCACATGGGTATTGCTCAGGGCTTCCTTCAAACAAATCCCCTTGCTGCCTTGATCAAATGTGTTAACTTCTGAAAATAATGAATAGCATTAAATTTAGTAACAGTCTGCTAAAGTTTTAAACTCTGTTAAATTAATTAGATGTTTGTGGATTCTTGTTGATAGGTATGTAATATGACTATAAGATAACCCAATTTAAAATATTTATGGATATTTGTAAAAAGCTACATTATACTAATTAATACTATTACATATAAAGCTAATTTAAAAATATTTGTATCGTGTACAAAAAAAAATTGCTCAGGCTAAGCCTAAGGCCAAAAAAAAAAAATCTGTTGAGTATGGCCAAAGACCTGGATACCTTGTTTCTCTTGCACTTGCATATCTTCTCAGGAAATTAAAGTTATATTACATATTTACAGAAGCCCACTGGTATTAATTCTTGTTGAGTTATAAGCAAGAATGTGCTAGAGTGCTGGAGTGAGCTAGCACTAAGTTCATAACAGCTGATTGTTACATTTTCAAAATTTTGTGATCTGGTTATTAATGAGTCATCCTTGAAATTGACTATGGTGGGACTATTTATACCATGGGAACCAGCAAACACAAATTAGGGATTTTCCTTGTGGTGAGCCTGTTATCCAGCACACAACTGTTTGCAAAACTCTTCTTCATGACTTCTCTCTGCTCTTGCCTTTTTCCTGGGACAATCAAGGTAGGCAAGAGAGAGAGAGAGTGACATTGTTGTAGTCCCAGTAAGAGCCCCACATGGCAATGATTTCTTAGGGCAAGGATGATCTCAGCAGCTGCAGTGAGAGTGATAGCTACCAACAGATGATCTTTGAATTTTCCTGGTGTTGTACTTTCAGCCTTTGTTTTCAATGTATACTCTTTCCTTGTTTATTCAAATATGAAACCTATGTAAATGTTATGTTCATAAGTGGACTGTAGCTAACGTATCTGTGGGTTATCAGTTTCGCGTCAGTGATGTTGAGAACTTGAGGGTGCATCAGAGAAATCCTTGCCCAAATGAAACACTGCTTGGCTAGTGTTAGGCAAAAGTGAGAGATAGATGCAGTCAGCTTTTGCTTATAGCTGTGCCAATTTCTGATGGGTTAGTCAGACAGTTTCACATTCTGATTCTACCCCTCCCCTCAACTCCACCTCAGCCATCCTCACTGACAAAGCCATCATCAACCCCTCTCATATTAATTGTTTTTTACCTTCCTTTTTGCCCATCGGTTAAGTCCCTCTTGAAGATGGCCGTTAACGGAAAAGTAATGCAGTTTAGTGCATTTGATGGGGGCAAACTACATCCTTAAATACATCTGCTTATATTGGAGATGAAGTTCCTGTCCTTTTGTGTTTGATCTCAAAATTTCATTGGTGGGGATGAGAGGGCATTTTTTATTAGAGAGAAGAAGCAAAAAGGTGATCAATTTATGGACAAGAAGTCTGAGAATTACCTTCAAGTAGAAGTTACAAAGGATACCTTGGTACCTACATTTTTCTTGATCTGAATGGATGCATTTCTATTTTGTGGGTCACTTATGACCATGGCAAAGTCACTCTATAGGTCATGACTCTCCTGTGAGCCCCACATTTATCCGCAAGAGACCAGTACACATGCCTACAAACTCAGAGTTCAACTAGAGCAAGGTTCTCCTGTATCTACTCCCAAGGAGTTGGCCTTTCTCTTCCTGACAGATTTACTAAGTGGGGTCAAACTCTAGCTCACTGTCAACTTTTGCTTTTTCAGGGAGGAGTCAGGCACTAGTTCTCTGTATCTCCCAATTGCAAGAAAATAAACTCTTTTAGGGGTATCCCTTGAAGTCCTCCTATCAGGTTTAAGATTAGAAAGTTTCATTGTGCCCCATTCCTCCTGCAAATGGAGTGGGTGAGGACTCACAGCATGACCCCAGGACTTTCTTTACACATAGTACCTCAATCTCTCCTTCTAACTATCTGGGCCTCATTTTTTTTTTTTTTTTTTTTTTTTTTTTACAAATAGTTTATTGTCAAATTAGTTTCCACATAACACTCAGTGCTCATCCCCAAAGTGCCCTCTTCCATGCCCATCCCCCCTCCCACCCACATCCATCAGTCCTCAGTTTTTGTCAGCATTCAAGAGTCTCTCATGGCTTGCCTCTCTCCTTTTCCCCCACCATTTCCCCCCTTCTTCTCCCCCTTGTTCCTCCATCAAGTTCCTCCTAATCCTCCTATACGTGCAAACATATGATATTTGTCCTTCTCTGCCTGACTTATTTCGCTCAGCATAACACCCTCAAGGTCCATCCATGTTGCTACACATGGCCAGATTTCATTGTTTCTCATTGCC